CCCCCAAAACCCCAAAACCCCACCATATCTAATATGACATTCTTCGTGAAAATTGAAATTAAAACTAAAATAATGTTAGTTAATGATCACACATTGTGAATGAGATCATTTCTTTGAAAACTTGCCTAAGCCACTAAATAAAAAGTCCTTGGTCATTCTGGCATAGGTTGAGATTGGCTCAAGAGATCTGTAGTTGCTGAAGTAGATATTGACTAACAGTAGGAGGGTGATAACAGCAATGAAGAATAAAAGTAGATCAAAGCTGTTTGTTTCAGATTGAAGCAATTTCTTGTGTGTTTCTAAGTATTGATCGCTGAGTTTTTCATTTGTCTCAACATCTAGCTTCTCATTGTATACTAGCTGCTGGTTCTTTTAATCTTAGTCTTGAGCTTGAACTTGATTTAAAACCTCATCTTATCGAATATATTATTGTGGTACTTGTTGATTTTACAAATCTTAGGCCTCATATTGTCGCAGTGGAGAATAGTTATAAAGGTCTTGTGACTAGGCATTAGTATTCAATTGCTAGGATGAAAAGTTATTTGTTGCAAATTAACTGCTAATTGGGACTCCTTAGACTCTTCTCTATTGAATGAAGACTGGCTTATTGTCTTCTTAGTTTTTCAATTCTTCGTATTCTTCTCTTACGGTGTCTAAATTCTATTGTTATTCCAGGACCTGTTCATTCAGCCAGAATCTCTCATTAGTAAGTTCTCTGTTTAAATCAACTTCCTCCTCGTAGAGTGCTTCAAGTGCATAAATGTCATTCTAATAAGCATTGATTTTGGTATCAGAGTCTTAAATGATCTTTCTATCATTTATTAACTAATCCTGACATAATTTAATTTCTGATCTTATCTTTTACAACTCAATATGCTCATCTGTGATGTTATTAAGTGTCTTTGCCTCTCCTATTTTTTTATTTAATTTTTCCTAATCTAAAATTTGAGTTTTTATTTTTTCTTGCATTTGTTTATATTACTACTCAAGTGAAATTAGTTCTTGTTCTCTGTAATGGGTTTTTATACTACCCTCTAATTTAGACATGATAACTAAAGATTGGCTGGCCTTATCATTTTATGACTTTATTGCCATTATCTCTTCTTGTTTCTTTTTCTCAACTTCAGCATCTAACAATTTTAATTCTTGTTCTTATCTCTTTATAGTTTGTTCAAGGCCCTCAATTTAAAGAATAAGGTCTCCGTTTTGCTTTAAAAAGTCACTCTTATCCTCGAGTAACTCCTCTAATTCAAGCTTTACTCTCTCACCTTCTAAGATTCTGGCTTTTAGAATTTCAATATCTGTTTGAAGCTTAGAGCTTATTTAATTAAGTTATTAAATTTTAGTTGGCTCCTCTTTAGAAGGAGGCTATCCTTGTACCTTAGGATCTACTTTTGGTTGTGCTTAAGCTGGGATTGTTTTGAGAGACTCTAACCTTTGATCTTCTATTACGATTTCTCTGTCAACTTCTGCTTTTTTCTCCTCATATTTTTGCAAGAGTCTTAAATTTTTGCTAGTTTATTCTTATATTAGACTCCTTTAAACCATGATACTCTATTTCTTCATCTACTGCCTATTATATGCATTAAGAGTTTCTTATCTTTTGAACTGCTTCGTTTGAGTATCAATTTGAGTAGAGTATTTAACTTTCAAACTTTCTAGATAGGATATTTAGTCAATGCCTGCTTTACCCTGTAAGTCCTTATCAGTAATTGGCTCTACCTATGGTATTCTTTTTTGAACCGCAATATAGGACTCACTTCCAATTCCATCTTAATTCTATAATCCAGTTGCATTATTCTATTAAGATCCTTATTTTGATGCATCTACTTTAACTTCAGTTTTTGCAAGATTTTGCTACTATTAGGTATTAGTATTTTATTGCTATATTTAGTTTTACTATTATTGAGTTCCTGTGGTACCAGTTGCTTATTGTTTAGGATCAACTTTTGAAGTTGTGGTGTTTAAGGCGCCAGTATTGGCTTATAGCTTTTGCTAATCTGCAGTTCCTGTAGTATTTTGCTGATTTAAGTTAGCATTCTATTGAGTTGCAGTTCCTACTGTTGCATTTGATTAAGTTTGGGTAGTCGTTTTTTATTCTTCAACTTTCTTTGAGTTAGCATTTTGCTACTATTGTTATTAAGCAGGAAGATTCTATTGCTACTATTGGTTGCTGATATTCTAGTTTGTAGCCTAATTGCTGCTAGTATTTGTTGTTGTAGTAGTATTGACTAAAGGCTTATTTTAAGTCTGACTTATTTATGATTGATTAGTTGTATTTGTTGTTGATTAGCTCAATGTCGTAGCATTTTACTGTGTTTTTGGATCAACAGTGGTCTTCTAAGTATTTGCTTATGTTTGACTTGTTGAGGTGTTATTGTTTGATTATTAAGCGCCCTTATTCATACTAATTTTATTTATATTTTAAAATCAATAACCTATTTATCGTATAATTAGTATCTGGGGTTTTGGGGTTTTGGGGTTTTGGGG